GGAGCCTCCCAGCCTCCCCTCTCGTCTCGGAGTAGGAAGTGGGGAGCGGTTGGCCCCCTCATCTTTGATTCACTGGCGGTCTCTATTCCCCCCGCTCCGGCACCCTGCTCGGCCCCCTGCCGGCTGCAGTGCCGAGGTCAGACCCGCTCGAGGTTGTCGGTTCGCTGTGAGCGTCTGTGTGCTGGAAATTAGCAGAGCCGCTTTTCAGCAGCTGCTTCGCAGGTGCTCATGCAGTGACAGCGACCGCAGAGCTCCGGGCCCCCCAGGAGGTGATGAGGGGCGTCTGCGCACTGGCGCTCGTGGTCATAATCACAGTGACCCGAATGCCGTTAGTGGAAAGGCCAGAACAGGAAAGAACTAGGGCTCCTGGCCTCTGTCTTCCAGCCCCCCCGCCCCCCAGCCTGCCACCCTAGTTCTTACTTAAACCTTGCGTACTTATTGATTTGAGAATTTTTAAGGAAGCAAGTCATGGTTCTGTTCAAGAAGCGTAAAGGCGTTAGCCCGTTGCTGAGCTCAGAAACTGTTCCGAGAAGCTTCGTAGACACATTCTGGTCAGCCGTCTGGGATGAGCAGGAAATCCTCCTTCCGTTCCTGCGACGCGGGCTTCCCCGAGGGGCCCGGACGAGGACAGAGACGCAAGGGCTGCTCACCTCTGTCTCGGGCCATAGGTAGCAGCATTTATAAGCCTTCCCCTAAGAAACCCATTGTGTTCACATACAGCTTAAAAGAACCGAATGAGAACTACCTTCCGTAAGTGCTTTATAGAAGAGAATTGGCCGCGAGTCGAAGCTTCCATGTTTCTTACGTAAGCAAGGAATTGGCGGGGTTTGTGGCACATTATTTTGAGGGTGTGAGCAATTGACAACTTCTGTGCATTTGCCTCTCTACATCCTCAGAGGATGTGAACAGTTCTACGCGTCCGGGGCTCTAAGAGGTTGAAGGTGGTTTCTCCAGAAATTTGGAAACTGTCAACAGTAAAACGCTTGGGGCGTGAGTTCAGGCAGTGAGCACATGAGCGGCTCCCCGTGCGCGTCTCCCTGTGGCTGAGACGGGGAGCTGCAGCCCAGGGAGGACCTGCGGCCAGCGGGCCAAGGAGCCACTCCCCGGGCTCAGGTGCTCCGCCCGCACCCAGGCCCCCGAGCCGCCATCGAAGCACAGTGACCCCACGTCCCAGGCTGCGGGGCCTGCAGGGCCTTCGCTGTTGGCTCTTGGTAAATGTTGTGGTAACTCAGGTTCACCCTAAACGAGGTGAAGTGACCCCTGGATGATCTTCCTCCCAGCGAAGAGGCCGCATGGAATGCTTTTCCTAGCGTATCCTCATGCCGTTGCTTCCCGCCATAAACGGGATACATTCTCCCCTCCCCTCCCCTCCCCTCCCCTCCCCTCCTCTCCTCTGCTCCTTCCCTTCCTCCCTCCCTTCACCCCTCCCTCTCTCCCTTCCTTCTTTCCTTCCTTCCTCACCCAAGGATATTTTTCCCATTGATTTTTAGAGAGAGTGGAAGGGAGGGAAGGAGATGGGGGGGAGAGAAATATCGATGTGAGAGAGACACATAGATTGGTTGCCTCTCACATGCACCCCAACGGGGGACCAGGGATCAAACCTGCAACCCAGGCACGTGCCCTTGACCAGGAATCAAACCCGTGACCCTTCGGCGTGCAGGCCAGTGTTCTAACCACCAAACAATACTGGCCAGGGCTCCTTGATTTTTTAAAATTATTTTGGGGCAACGTTGGTCAATATATTACTAGTATATAAATTTCAGATGTATAGCTTTATAATACATCTGTATACTCGATCAAATTGATTGTTTTGATGGCAATTTTGTTTCCCCTTGTACATTTATTCAGAAAACATGAAGTACTTACCATGCGTTGGGCCCATGCACAGGTTGAGGTGTATGTGTTACATGTACATATTACACAGACGGTAAAACACGCCCACGCAGAGACTCCCCACCCCGATGCCGCTGGTCACACGCTGAGCTCTGGGAGAGCGGCAGGGTCAGGGGCTGGGCCGCACGTTTGAACCCCGAGGTCCTTGGCCAGACTAATACTTCGTGACACTCCCACCTCCCTGTGAGAGGCCGCTTCCCAGCCGACGCTCCTGTCTGCTTGCTTTTCAGAAACGTGAGGATAAAATCCGGAGAATGGTTCTTTGAGGAACGGGCCAAGAAATTTCCAACTGAAGGTAAATGCGCTCAAAATCTTTACTAAATTGAAAATGATAAATTCCTCGTTTTAAAATATTGGGTTTAAAGCTTTTGAATGGAAACAACTCCACAGGGCGAGGTGACATCACCCCCCCCCCCCCCCCCTAAAAAATGGGGGGGCCAGGTTAAAGGGGTTTAGGGTATGGGAGAGGGAGACCCGATTAACCCCCCCCCCATGTGCCCACCTTGGGTCGCGGTGTTTGCCTCTCTACCCCGTGTCCCCGAAGTCTCCCCGACGCCCAGCTCCTGGGAGCCAGGTCTCCCTCCTCCGCACGTGTCCCCCAGAATCGCTGGAAGCGCCTTCGATCGGGTCCATATGTGCGCACTTTTCTCTCTCCACACCAGAACCTGTCCCGTTAGCCCCTCGCAGCCCGAGCACAAAACCTCGTTCAGGATACAAAACCTCGATCGACACGATTGCGTGAATTGCTGAAGAGCACAGTGTGGGTGGGGCTAGAACTGAGCAGACGCTGATGTTATGAAGTCACCTGTCATGACCGTGGGGGTGGGAGGGAGCAGTTGGTCTGTGTCTTGTAGACCAGGCATGTCTTATAAAACAGTCCCAAAGTCGACGTGACGGTGTGATCAGCAGCCGGGACCCGAACCCGTGGTGAGAGCTGGCGGTGCCGTGGTTATGGGGGCGCCGCGCCGGAGGGTGGGAGCGGGGCAGATAGGAGAGTACCTACAGGGGGCCCGCGGGCCCCGGCATCACACCCGCACGTACGCAGTGCTGAGCGATGGTGGCTCCCCCTCCCCGCCCCCGCACTGTGTCACAGCGGAGCCTCACTGGCCCAGTGGGAACGGGGTGCTGGAAACACTTTTTACTTTTTCCTGGAAAAGTGATGGTTTGAGGTGGAGAAATAGGCAGTTTAGCATCAACCACAGTGCGTCGTCAGGTAAAGGCCGCACGCTGGGCGGCCACGCTCAGCTCTGATCAAAGGCCCTGCTCACAGCTTGTTTCCGTGCGTGACGTTCTCCCCTGGGTTCCACTCCCGACTCTTCTTATCAAGACCCCAGGGTGCTTTTGCCGAGCGTGTAGGATCGGGCGGGGTACACCTCTAACGGGAGCTCGAGAAGCTGACCGGCCAGTGTGAGTCCCTCTAGCCCAGGGTTCTCAACCCTTCCCCGCTGCCTCCTCTCTCCTGGCCCAACGCCTTGTCAGCACTTTCCTTTAACTGCTCTCGGGCCAGGAGCCTGTGGCCCCCGATGTCCTGCCGGCCTGTTTACGGGCGGAGGCCGGGGGCGAGGCACACACCCTGAGACGGCTGCGGTGTCCCCCCTGGAGTTCTGGCCTTGGACGCGGGCGCTCGCCCCACCCGAGCGTCACCCGCAGAGCAGGGGCAGCTGGAAAGCCGTGCATCTGCCCAGCAGCTCGTGCTGTGGTTGTAAAGGTGTGAACGCGGCCCTTCTCAGCCCCGCACCCTCCGCAGAGGCAGAAAGCACGGTGCGGGTTCACACCACGGAGGGCGTCAGACGCTCAAACCCGGGCTCCCTTCTGTGCGCCCCTGGTCTTTTGCCGGGAGCACGCGGTGACTTAAATAGCATTATTCTTTCACACTCCTGGGCTGCAGGGGCGGCTTTCTCGGGGCTCAGGCTCGCACCTGCCGGCCAGTGCGGCTGGCAGGCACCGGGCTCCTCCCGCCTGGACCCCTCCACGGGGTTGCCGACCCCCCGCGGCCAGGCGCCGGCTTCCAGCTGGTGATCCTAGTGCAGTGACGGCGAACCTTTTGCGCTCGGTGTGTCAGCATTTTGAAAAACCCTAACTTAACTCTGGTGCCGTGTCACATAGAGAAATGTTTTGATATGTGCAACCATAGTAAAACAAAGACTTATATTTTTGATATTTATTTTATACATTTAAATGCCATTTAACAAAGAAAAATCAACCAAAAAAATGAGTTCGAGTGTCACCTCTGACACGCGTGTCATAGGTTCGCCATCACTGTCCTAGAGAGACGAAGACAGAGCACCGCGGCACCTTAACAACGGTTTTTATTGTGGTGGAGCACATGCAACATTAAACGTACCATTTTAACCATGGTTAGGCGTACGGTTCAGTGACATTAAGTGCAGTCACACTGCTGTGCAACCATCACCGCCATCCATCTCCAGAACTTTCCATCCTCCCACACCGACACTCTCGTGCCCATTCAGCAGTAACTCCTGTCCCCCAGCCCCTCCCCAAAGCCCCTGGAGCCTCTCTCCTACTGTGTCTGTCTCTGTCGACGTGGCTTCGCTTCGGAGCTCACCCCGTCATTGCTGCCCCATCCCAAGGTTCACAGGCCAGCTCTCTGCAGGGCGGGAGGCAAGAGTCACCACGTGTGACCATCTGTAGGTTTCCATCTTGCTCTATAATTTAATTTAGCGTAAGCACGTCCCTGTGCTACTGAGACTTCTCCCAACGTATGTTGACGGCTGGGATGCGCTCCCACTGTTCAGCCGGGCCCCTCTGGTCAGCGAGCGGCCGTGCTCGGACTTTCACGTCACAGATGACTCTGTGGTGGACGGCGGCATCTCTGCCTGTGTCCGTCGGTGGCTCCTTAGAAGAATGACTGGTTGAAAGGCTTTGATGTTTTCCAAGTTCCCCTCTGGGCAGGGTGTGCCCGGGCACCCCCGGCAGCGCGTGAGCCACCCTCTTAAGTCCTGTCCCTGGAGACACAATTTCAAATTACATTTGTGATTTTGTTCTGAATGTAAAGGTAATACGGATTCATTTTTAAAATGGACAAATGGAGAAAAGCATAAACAGTAACATTGAAAATACAGTGACTTCACCCTGAGAATTATTGTTGACATTTTGGTAGATATCATTTCTGTTCTTTGGTGAATATATGCATCTACATTGGTGAGTATGTATGTACATTTTTAGGTAAAAACTATGGATAAAGGAAATTTTATATGAGCCAAACTAATATATTCATATAATTGGGATCAAATGATCTATACAGACGTATTCTGATATCTCTTCACATAATATCGTCATCACTGTTGTTGGATAGCTAGGGAGTTTCCAGTTTTGCTGTTACATTTTTGGGAGTTTGTCATATTATTAAAGTAACAGTAAAGTGCAGTGAACACCCCTGGAGAGCGGTCTTCGGCACATCTCTGGAGAGTTCTAGAAACAGAAGGGAAGAAGGTGTTAGGAACACCACCTCGGAACGCGTGCACCTCTGTCACCAGCAGGAATTACCCTTAAAAGCAAACAACTGTCAACACAGTGAAACCACTCTGGTGGCCCCGATGCTCCCCTGTTATTTCAGTTGGAATCACCTAATTATTGCGACGGACCATTTCCGCTGCTCTGACTCTCGGTAGATGTTGAGGCTCTCAGTCCTTTGCAGTCGTGTATGCTGCACCGCGCACCTTTGCTGACATGCAGAAGCTTTTCTTGTTTGTGTTCAATTCCACCTTTTCCTGTAGAAGTTCTTTCTTTGCTTTTATGCGTAGAGACTTCTTCCTGATCCTGTCATCGACACGGTGGCCACACTTCTCTCCTCATTGTTATGAGCTCATTTACATTTAAGTCTTCACCAGGCATCAGGGGCCTGATCTGATTTTTTCTGCCCATCACCAGTGTTCCCAGTAGCGTTTGTTATGTGGTCAGCCCCTTTCCCGCTGGCTTCTAACCCAGGGCCACTCATCAGCACCGATGAGCCCTGAGCTCCCAGGGTCTCAGTCCCGTGGACACCACACTAATGCTGCCCTCGCCGCCTGCAACTCTTGGTCCTCTGTCCTAACCAGGTTTTCAGTTCTTGGAGGGTAGGAGCTGTGAGCAAATGAGTACGTGAATGGAAAAGTAAGGATAGGTTGTTTGGAGATAAAATGTGATGTTCTGTGTGGTAGCTTCCATTGTCAGAATTAGCACCTAGTAGGCACCTAAAACTGAAAAGTCAGGGTTCTTTTCTTTTATGGCACCCAGAAACCTAGAGCCAAATTTAAAGTCCAGTTGGAGTAATTCCATCATCATGCCAGATGCTTTTACTTACCTCTGTTTTAATGATCTAATTGGATATGTGCCATTTACAATAATTGCTCCAAAAATGTCCTTGAAAGTAGGCAAGGTATAAGTAATAATCCAAAGAAGAAGAATGAGATGAATTGTGGCAGCTTGTTATGCTAACCATTAAAAAGATTCGGAAACAGGAAAACTGAGCCCCAATTCCTTCTTTTGCAGGGAGATGGTACATAAAGCATTTAAACATTCTCCTTTCCTTCATTTCTTTTCTGATTAGAGACTGTTTTTCCCCCTCTAAGATTTTATAATTCAATATTTAGTGTTGTCTTTAAACAGTTCCTTAAATGCCATTGTCATGGTTTCTCTGTGGTGCGTGAAAAAGGTGGGAACGTAGGTGCTGGCCTGCACCCCGGTATTGTCCCCTCCGCCCCTCCACCCCTCCGCCGCCAGGCACCTGGCAATCTGCACAGAAGGTGTTTCCTGGGGCTTCTGGGACCCTGGCTCCGGGGTCAGCTCTGAACTATTTTCACCTCAAAGTTCCTGACTCGGTGGGACCGGTGGGGCCCAAGGGTGTGTATTTCCCAAGTTCCCAAGTAATTGTTTTCACGCACTTCAAGTTTGAGAGCCACCGGGAAAGTAGCAAAGCTAATGCACAGGTACGATGGTCATTTTCTACATCACTGCTACCCAGAAACCTGAAACAAGACATTTATTCTAATCCCCTTGGTACTTGCTAAGCATATAGAGATAGCGCCCTCTTCTGGCTCCGTGCTGTAAATGCGCGTATTTTACAGCCAGGGCGTTTTTATTGCTTCATATTTGAGCTTTAAAGCAGAAAAATGACAATATTGCCCCACTGCCGTGGCTCAGTGGTTGAGCATCGACCTATGAACCAGGAGGTCGCGGTTCGATTCCCGGTCAGGGCACCTGCCCGGGTTGCAGGTGTCAGCAGGCGCAGATGAGAGAGACTTTCTGCCAACAGGACTGTCCACCTCTCACTGATGCTCGCGCTGTGGGAAGGCA